GGCGAGGGTGATGGGCAGCTGCCCACGTGGCAGCTGGTTAGTGTGAGCGGCGAGCAGAGCAAACGGCTGATGGGAGAGCTCTCAGGCCATGAACACTTCCCTGGTGGCACCCCCAGCCCCGCCACCAGCCACGTCCTCTCTATCACGTTCTCAGAGGGCACCCCTGGCCACGGCCTTTGATGCATCCCGCAGAGCTGCCTATTCCGCCTGCCCCAGACACCTAGGGGCTCAGAGGCAGTAATGACAGCCATGAAAGTCAGCCTCTCCCACCAGACGCGGCCACCTAGAAGCCCAGAGGCAGTAAGGACAGCCTCGAAAGTCAGCTCGCCCAGGGCCACATGCGTTCCTCTGCTGTCCTAGTGCACAAGCAGAGGAAAACAGTCCCGCCTGCCGGAATTCACAAAGCTGGACAAGGGAGGTGGCCTGGAATGTTTATTAACTTTCTCCTTAATTTTGGACTTGTATAATGAATTCCTGATGAGTAGAGATTACATTTGTTTTAAATATCTTCTTTTCATTAACTTAATATCCTAAAAGTCATTCTGCAATATCTGCCACAAAAATCTACTGTATTTCCTGATTGACACATATATTTATTCTGCCATATATACATTCATGTGCACATATGCATATGCCATAAGTTTCAAGTACATACCTGAAAATCAATGTCAGCAGCCATATAGCAAATAATAACATAAAAAAGGAAAGAGCCAATCTACTATTGTGAATGTTAAAAGCAACAAGGAAAGAAAATGAACAGCAGCAATACTTTTCTAAAGATTTTACACTTGCTTTAGAGAAGATAGCAAAAGATTCTATTAATTTCACGTACTTGTTATTCAAAGTAAATTTTAAAGTTTCCCCAGCAAGACATACACATGACATTTGTCCTTTGAAATGTTGCAGAATTGGGGCAACAGTCTAGGGCAGCATCTCCAGGAGCAGGTGCAGGTGCTGGGAGGCGACCCACACACCAGAGAGCAGCAGTGTCCTGCCAGGGCAGGGGCACCCCGGCCGGCTCAGGAGCTCCAGCTCCCAGTCAAGCCAGGACTTTAGGAGGCACATTTGCTCCCCACTGGTGTGGAGAGAGGCGCTAGCTCATCTATTTACATTCTAGGTTCAGAAAGAGATCCTAAAATGTCTTTTGAAATCCAGGTATCCTGTTCATCTTTCAACATTAGGCAGAAAAATGAAATCCTCTCATGCAAATGTTAACACTAATTCTAAATGCAGTATTCTGGGCATTCACATGGAACAGCCGTGGGCATAGTGGTAATTATTGGTGGGATACAGGAGGAAAGGCCCCAGCAACAGGACCCCATGTCCAGGTCACATCCTGGGTGACCTTAGCCTTGCTGCACAGGGCCAGCCGTACCTCCTGCGCTGAGTGGCCTCGGACCCGTGGGCTGCCTTGGCTGCTGCTCATCTACTGCTGTGTAGGCACAGACCCTCCCCTCTGTTTGAAGACAGGAGTCTGGCTGCTTGCCCTCCGTAAAAACAGTTTTCTCAGTATCTCTCCCCTTCCTACGTGGTGTGTTTGTGATTACTGCATGTGTGTGGACACATGGCCACCTGCTGAAGAGTGTTCAGAATTGTTTATTATTCCTGCATGTGTGTGGACACACAGCCACCCGCTGAAGAGTGTTCCAGGGTGTTTATTATTCCTGCATGTGTGTGGACACATGACCACCCGCTGAAGAGTGTTCCGGGGAGTTTGTTATTCCTGCATGTGTGTGGACACATGGCCACCCACTGAAGAGCATTCAGAGTGTTTATTATTCCTGCATGTGTGTAGTCACATGACCACCTGCTGAAGAGCGTTCCTGGGAGTTTATTATTCCTGCATGTGTGTGGACACACGGCCACTCATTGAAGAGCGTTCCGGGAAGTTTATTATTCCTGCATGTGTGTGGACACACAGCCACCCGCTGAAGAGTGTTCCAGGTATGTTTGTTGTTACTGCGTCCACGTGGACACTTGGCCACCTGGTAGAGAGCATCCCAGCATTTCACCTGACCGTAAGCATGTGAGTAAGTTAAGGCTCCCACATTGGGAGCAGAACTGATTTCCACAGCTTTCCAGTTGTGTCTTTAAGGCCACCTGCTTCCCCCATGCTGCTTCTTGTTGGCTAGAGTGGAAACGGGCTGGAAGGAGGTACAGCGGCCCCCTTGGGCTGAGGACAGCCTTGAGGGGAGAAGAGCGCTCTGCTCCTCTTCCCTGATTATCTACCTGGACTCTGACTGAAAAGAGGAGTCAACTAAGAGGTACAAAATAAACAGGTCCTACCTTCGCTCTCGTATGGATTTCCCTATGTAAGCCATCAGGAATACCACGCTGTTGGCAAATGCAGTGCAAGGAAGAAGATTGCAGCTGCGCGTGCTGAGTCGCAAGCATGAAATCAGGTCATGGCAGACCACCCTGAGCTCTGCAGACACACCAGAGCGAGGGTGGCCTTCATCCAAATGCTGCAGCCTTTTTATTTCATGAAATCCCTGAGCACAAAGATTGTGAGCGCGTCAGGTTCTCCACAGAGCAGCCAGCAGACTGTGGAATGAATGCATTGGGGCAGCTGTACTCTGTGGGGCTGCAATGACTCACATCGTCTAATGATAAATGTAAAATGCCACCCCCTTCTGTATCATGAGGGAGACTGTGCTCCAAGAATGAGATTAAGGCAACAGAGAGCCCCCCTGAAGTCACGAGCCATGAATGTGCTGTTTATACAAATAGGGGCAGAACAGGGCCTGGTCTCCCCGGGGCTGTCACAGCTGCTTTCTGCTGCCACAGCTGAGGTCACCATCCTCATGTTCTCAAGAGGGGGATGTCTGCTTTGAATATGGAGGCCACTCAGACTTGGGGAAATTCCCTGCTTCCCTGCAAGAGAGCTAGGAGGGGAGGAAACGCCACCCGTCAGTGCCGGGACCAGGGCAGGGGGTGGACCACTGGGGCAGATATGGAAACCTGCACCATGGGTAGGTGCTGGAGCTCAAGGCTGTGCAGGTTACATAGGCAGGCGGCGTCTCGCCAGGGACCACAACCCTTCTCTGTCATCTTTCTGTGGGATCTGTGCCTGCAAAGCCAAAATGGGAATGAATGTTTGGGAATGAATGCAAATAAATGGGAGTGAATGTAACTTATTGGAAAGGAGGAAACTATGTAGAAAGACATTCTCCCGTGTCTCAGATCAACTTTAATATGAAAAGGTGACCTATCTTCAGGGAAATAGATGTTAGGGGCTGAATGGTGACCCCTTAAAATTCATATGTCTAAGTCCTAACCCTCAGAAAGTGACGATATTTAGAGACAGGGCTTTTAGACCGGTGATTAAAAGGGGCTCTGGGGTGAGCTGTAATCCAACCTGACTAGCGTTCTTATAAGAAGTTTCAGCTCTCACAGAGGAAAAGCTATTTGAGGCCTCAGGAGAAACCAGCCCTGCCAACACCTTAACCAGCGTCTGGAAATGTGAGAAATAGAGGTGCTGTTTAAGCCGCTCGGTCTGTGGCATTTTGTCAGGGCAGCCCCAGCCAACTAGCTTTGTAGCGTGCTGTGGCATATATAGTGCATTCATTGGACCAGATTCTCTGTAAGTGTGTCTCCAGAAAGTCTGTAACTTCCACACATTACCGGAAGCCTTAAAAGGTTTGGAAATGTTGTGTTTTTCTGGCCTCATTTAAAATCCAGCCTGTCTGTCCTTAGAAGCAAATCATATGCAATTTGCAAGGTAATGCTTAAATCCCTAAATGTTGAACTTTGCATATGGTAAAATCTCACGTATCCAGAAATAATTGAATACTGAGAGGTTCTAACACATTGCCCTATTAATACACAATTTGACAAGTGCAGATAGCTGATCTCCCCACCAAACTTACCGAATAATGTTTGCATTGAGTGGAGAGGAGGACTAATGGCGGACATGGTCCAGATTCTGGTAGGGACGGCCACAGCCTGACAGCGAAAAGATAAGGGGGAAATCAACAGGAACCACTGAAGAACGGCCCCCTCCAGCTAATTTATGTCTCCTGAGAGCATCAAGTTCCCATAGCACCTGTTCTGATGCCCGAGACAGCAAGAAAAATGATGTCACTTACTGTACTATATTTAAGAAGAAATAAAGTAAACATTTTTATACATTATACCTAAAATGTTTAAAAGGCTGTTGCATAAAGAAGTCAGCTTCATTTATTTGAACTTTTAAACAATGCAGAGAAGCTCACTGGCAAATAAGCAATGTTTCTGTGCCAGTGTTCAGGCATGAATCCTCATCACAGATGACATCAGCGCGCTGATCACACTGCAAGAAGTGTCCGAATAACAACTCGTTTTGCTTTGATCTCTAGAGTCAAACACTAACAGCTTTGAAGGACATGAGGAAGCCTGAAGACACTCTCTCCGGACAGTGGGCCCCTCCATCTGGACCTTGAAGCTGAAAGACGATTCCTATTTCATGTACAGAACACATTTTTTATTTTGCAAAGCAATGCTTTAAAAATATAGACTTTGAATCTTAAGACATATTTTGCATTTTAAAGAGATAATATAGTTAAAGCTTACAAGAACAATATAAAGTTTCAAATAACACATTTGTCAGGTTTAAACAAGTCAGTATTTTAGTAATTCATAACAGTAATTTTCTTTTTTCTTTTCTTTCTTTCTTTTTTTTTTTTTTTTTTTTTTTTTTGAGATGGAGTCTCACTCTGTCGCCTAGGCTGGAGTGCAGTGGCGCTATCTTGACTCCCTGCCTCCCGGGTTCAAGGGAGTCTCCTGCCTCAGCCTCCCAAGTAGCTGGGATTATAGGCACCTGACACCATACCCGACTAATTTTTGCATTTTCAGTAGAGATGGGGGTTTTGCCGTGTTGGCCAAGCTGGTCTCGAACTCCTGATCTCAAGTGATCCTCCCACCTGGGTCTCCCAAAATGCTGGGATTACAGAAGTGAGCCACCATGCCCGGCCCATGACAGTACTTTCCTAACACGTTTGTATTTTTGTAACACAAATGGATATTTTTCTAATGTTCATATATTTACATAACCCTTCAAAAACATGATTTCCATAAACTTTCTATGTCGTTGAAGAGAGTTGTTAAAATCTGATTCCAACACAAACTTCAGACCCCTTTAAAATCATTATCAGAAGCCAGCATAATTCCAGCTGTCCGCCAGCTAATCTGCATTTGTCCGCTAGCTAATCTGCATTTGTCCGCTAGCTAATCTGCAACTCCTCATAACAAAAGTCTTCAGCCAACCATTGCTCTTCAACCACATGAAAGACATAGAACAAAACTTCTTTCTACATTATCTCAGTACAGTTGCTTTCTTTAAAAAAAAAAAAGTATTCTATTTATTTAAAAAAATTAAAAACATCTAATCTTTAAACTGCACAATAAACCCCAATTTCATTACGATTCATTAATCAAATATCTGAGTCCCTTTTTTTCACTGGAACTCTGCTAGGTGCGCAGAGCACAGCTGTGAGCAAGATCATTCTAGCTCCTGTCTAGAGAAGAGTCGCTCATGACAGAGAACAGCTCCCAGGGAAGTAAAAGCAAAGTGACACTTTCCTCATGGCCCACTGCGACCTGAGCCGCTCCATCCACGGTGACAGTTCTCACCGAAGCCTGTTCCGCCACTGTCGCGTCTTCCCGAAGCACTTCCAGGCTGTGAACACCTGAGCTTGCCTTTCTGCCTCCGTTTCACCGCGTCAGGCTTGTTGACTGTTTCAGGGAAATGAGAGGAAAGCCCAGGCAGCTGGTCCTGCTGCTGACAACCAGCATCAACAAATACTCTGGTAAATAAAATGCTCCAAGACTTGCCTAAAATGAGTGATGTGTGGGCTTCAGTGGTTTCTTCTGTTTTGTTTTTTCAGACCATGCTATCATTTTGTGTTGTAACTATAAGACCCTGTGATTTGTGACTGCTTCATGACTATTTCTGAAAATTTTTACATTGGTCAACAATTCACTTCAATTCGGCATTTCCCAAAGGCTGTCTGGTGAAACGCCAGGCCTATATATACTCCAGAGCTACAAAACATTCCTTGCAAAGTGTGCTGAAAAATGCTACCAGTCAGAAAACCACTACCACCCTGAAGTGACCACACAGCCCATGAGCACGTTCAGTCCTGCAGGAGAGACGCTTGCCTGATTTTGCTTAATTCCCACATTTTCCATGTGTGTTCGGCCACAGACTTTTTTTTTTTTTTTTTTTTTGCATAATATCGATGAGTATGTTTCACAAATGCCTTAGGGAAACTCGGCTTTCTGTCACACAGCACGTCACATCGTGAAGGAGGACGCGTTTTCATTATCTGCAGTCTCGCTGGTCTGCCGGGAGATGAAGGTTTCTGAGTACCTGCTGGCACAGGAGAAGCCTGGGGACTTGTGCTTCCTTCTCACACACCACAGGTCCTTCATGATCTTCAGAAAGTAGTTTCTGAACTTCTGCCCAATGAAAGCATAGAGCACAGGGTTCAGGCAACAGTGCAGGAAAGCCAGGACCTCTGTGATGGTTTTCGTATAGCCCATTAGCTTTTCATCCTGGCAGGATCGGTTCATTTTACCCAAATTTGCAGCCGTCACAAGCAGGACCATGTTGTGAGGAATCTGACAAGCCAGAAACACAAGCACCACGGCTATGATCACACGGATGGCTTTGTGTCTTTTAGAATTCTGCGCTTGCACCAACGTTTTGACAATGAACATGTAACAAAATATCATGAACACCAAAGGGATAAAGAAACCGAAGAGTAGCTCAAGCCCCAACATCAGCAGCTTCCACCTGATGGGCTCCGAGACAGGCTGGTAGTTGGGCTCACAAACATCGCTGCCTTGGGTGTTGTATTTCTGGTTGAAGATGAAAGCTGAGCTGGAGATGATGACCGACACTCCCCACACAGCAAGGCAGATGACTTTGCTGCGCGGTAGCGTTCTGGATCGGAGCCGGAACGACTTAGTTGCCTGTACAATGGCCATGTACCGGTCCACGCTAATGCAAGTCAGGAGCAGCATCCCGCAGTTGAAGTTGACGGCATAGATGCCTTTCATCAACTTGCACATGGCATTGCTGAAAACCCACGCACCGGTGGCATGATTCACTGCCCAGAATGGGAGGGTAAGAACAAAGAGAATGTCTGCAATGGCCATGTTCAAGAGATAGACGTCTGTCATAGACCTAGCCTTCTTATAAAAAGCAAAGGTGATCACCACCAGAATATTCCCCAGGAGGCCAAAGACACAGATCAAGGAGTAGGCAATTGGTACAAATAGCCTGGAGAAGTCCCTGACCTCCTGCAAGGAGCACACCAAGTTTTCAGGATCAGGTAAGTCATAATATGTAGTATTGACTGACATAAAAACACAATCTTCAGTGGAGTCGAAAGCATCGCTGACATTCACTAATTCCTGGAAAGGAGACAAAGATAGAATGAGCAGTGGTGCGATTTTCAAGCAGCCACAATGAACCCAAATCATACTCCTTGCGAAAAATTAAAATCTTACCTCACACATTGTGGGCAGAAACAAAATGCAGGCTGGATATAGAAAAAGGAGTGTGCGGCACAGCCCCTTCAGCTCACAGGCAGAGGGAGCAGAAAAGTGGAAGGAACTCTAGGGAGAGAAAGCAAAATGCACCACCGTTAAAACAAGTATTCTTGGAGAGCCAGACAGTTTAGTCAACAGCATTGCATCTCATGTGGACAGAGTGCACAGCACACTCTTTCACATAAAAATACCTATTTCGAGCAGGCATCAGCGGCTGCTTTCTGTAAAGGACCAGAGAGAAAATATTTTAGGCTTTGCAGGCCATATGGTCTCTGTCACTGCTCCTCAAATCTGCGTTTGTGTAGCTTGAAAGCATCGACAATTACATAACTGAACAGGCCTGACCGGGCTTGGTTGGATAGAGGCTATAATTTGCCAATCTCTGATCTATAGTTTAAATAAAGTGCTCTCAGAAATCCACAAGTTGTGATCTGTACAAAAATCTTTATGCAAAATTTTAAAAATTTAAACAAGATTTTACTGAACAAAAATCTATACAAGTGTGAATGTGCATAGAAAATGTATAAGTCATAGTCCTGGGCTTTAAACAGTTCACAATATATGTCAGCGATATTCACCCCTGTGGGCATGTGAGAATCTCCAGTAGAATTTGCAGTTTGACTATGAGTCTGATTCCCAAGACACACTGAATGAGCTGCTCCGGCCCGGGCAGGTGCCAGAGAGGAATGCACCTGCTCCTCCACAGCTGCAGACCTTCCCAGTAGACATTCCAGGTTACAAGCACGAACCTGCTACGGCAAAGGCATCCTAATTGCCAGAAACCCAAGTGCCAGAGGAAAGGTGGAGGGTGGCACAGTTAGGAAAAGCTTCCTGGAGGAGGAGGCTCCGATCATGGTCCTTGGAGAATGGCAAGGCTATGGGCCAATGATTGACAGAGAAGGGCCATCCCCCTCAGGTGACCAGCTGGTCTCAGGCTGAAGAGCAGTCCTGAGTCCTGAGCCCTGTATGTTTGTGAAACAGCTGAGCAGCTGACCTGGCCGAATCAACTGGACTGTCAGGAAACAACATGCATGGAGCATACACTGTGTTGGGAATAGCAACAGTAGCCGTGCATGGGTCCAGGCTGCAGAAGTTTAGCAGGAGACGAGGAAGGACTAGAGCAGCTATGGAGGGCCTGAAGACAAAGGGCTTTGAAATTCATTGTTTGAAGCAAACTTAAAAAGAAAGAAAAGAAAAACTCTTCGCTATTCTCAGGCTCACTCCTCCTTTCCAGAATTGTCCATCATCCTGTTTATTAACACCCCCCGGGCACCCCCTAGTAAAAATCCATGGCCTGAAATGCTCTGGTGTTCATGTTGAGTGTGCTTCCCAGCCAATTGCCCATCCTCCTCCTCTTTTCCCTGCTCTGGCATCATGTGGGCCTGGCCATACCATGCAGGAGCAGCTGGGGAAGTGCAGCCCCAGGTGCACAGGCAGAGAAGGCAGAGCTCCCCTCCTCACCCCCCAGGCTGTGCCATAGCAGCCCTCACTTACAAGTCCACATGGATACTGACCTTTTGGACAGGAAGCCCATATAACACAAAGTTCACTCTGAATTATTTTCCAAACCTATTTCTTGCATAATTTTGATTCTGACTTCATTGCTTACTCCACCCTATTCCTTCCCTGATGCCTGGAGTCACAACTTAGAGATCCATTCTTCACTGCCCCTCAGTCACTGCTTTGGACATAAAGCTGGTGGAAGGCATGGGGGTCACCTCTGCACTTCTGTAATCCCAGCAGGTATACCGTTGAGTGCTTTAGAGTATGCAGAAGAAGAAAATATAGACCCTTGTGTTGCAAAAGCATGTGAAGAGGTAATCATATCAATCAGATGAAGCTCCCAGCCATGGTGGATTAACAAAGACCAAAGGTACCCTGCTGCACTAAGCAACTAGAAAAACCTACAAAATGTAACAACGATTTTTAGACATTGGCACTAGGCATAATCACAAGATTACAGCCCTGGCTTTCCAACCCAATAATAGATACAAGTGAGGAGGCAGCTGCTACAGGGGACAGCACTTGTGGTCGACAGAATCCTGACCCCAGGCCCTGGCACAGACACCAGACCTGTGCTTGTGTTACCTCACACGGCAAAAGGGACCGTGTATATGTGATGAAGTTAAAGATCCAAGGCCTGGGGGTGGACAGAGATCATGCTGGATTATCTAGGTGGACCCAGTACAATCACGAGTCCCTAGATGTGAAGAGTCGTTCTCCACGGAGACGGGAGAAGAAAAGATTCAAAGAAGGGAGACTCAATGTGCTGTTGCTGGAGTTGCAGACAGAAGAGGGGGCCACAAGTCAAGCCACATGGTTGCCCTGAGAAGCTAAAAAGCCCTCTGCTGACAGCCAACATGAAAATGAGGACCTCAGTCCTACAACCACAAGTAACTAAACTCTGCCCACAAATGCATCGAGCGAGGACCAGATCTCCTTGTAAACATGCAAATGGTACTTACTAGTGGAAAGAAGGCTGGGACCCCTATCTAAAAATGTAGAATAGCTGGGCGTGGTGGCTCACACCTGTAATCCCAGAACTTTGGGAGGCTAAGGTGGGTGGATCACTTGAGGCCAGGAGTTTGAGAACAGCCCTGCCAACATGGGATGCATCTCTCTGCCCAGCGTTTTTGTTATTGAATCATTAATAAAGTTTGATGTTAGATGGATGTCTGCTTTGAAGATTCAACACCTTGCATTAACACAGTCTCTGTATTATTCTAATGCATACTTAAATTTAGGAACAGTCACTTCATGGGGAATTCAAGGATCCAGCATCTAAAAGTGAGTTCCAAGAGATGCTCTGGGTGGAAAGAAGGGAGGGAGACAGACAGAAGGGAAATGATTGCTCTGTGGCTAGTAAATTAAAACATTAATAAGATGCTAACTATCCCCTTCCCTAGTTAATTCCTATTAGAGCTCATCTAACAATTGCCCTTCAGAGCTCTGCTGGAATAATTCACTATTTCTCAAACCTTCTCACCCATGGAACCGTGTCAGTTCCTGTTCTTTGGAAATGCTGGGAAATTTTTGAGGCCAGGATTTCCAGGCTGCAGTGTGCTATTATCATGTCTGCGAAAGGCCACGGCTCTCCAGCCTGGGCAACATAGACCTCATCTCTTTAAAATAAGGAAGTTTATTCATATGATTATATGAATCATATCATCTGACTATGTAATCTATATAATCATATATGTCTGATTATATAAATCATATAATCCATAAGTTGACTGTATTAGTCTGTTCTCACACTGCTAGAAAGACATACCTGTGACTAAGTAATTTATACAGGAAAAAGGTTTAATTGACTCACAGTTCAGCCTGGCTGGGGAGACCTCAGAAAACTGACAATCATGTCAGAAAGGGAAGAAAACACATCCTTCTTCACATGATGGCAGGAAGGAGAAAAATGAGTGTCCAGCAAAGAGGGAAGCCCCCTATAAAACCATCAGATCTCATGAGAACTCACTATCCCAAGAACAGGATACGGCCCCCATGATTAAATTATCCCCGCCTGGTCCCTCCCACGACACATGGGGATTATGGGAACTGCAATTCAAGTTGAGATTTGGATGGGACATAGCCAAACACTGTCACTGACCTAGAGGACTGTTCATTCATTCATCCAAAGACAGGTCTGAGCAATGCCTAGGGGCCAATCCCTTCTGTTCAGGGCAACAGCAGAGGGAGGACGAGAAGATGCCTGCATGCACCCACCACCTGACTGCAGCAGCTCACAGACGTCCAGGGCTGGCATCGCCTGACCCAGGGAGTGTGCCAAGGTGTGCCACCAAGGCAAACACAGGAGGAATCCCCAGCCAGTGTGCTGGTCCCCACACCAGCCTCTAACTTGAAGTGCCTTCATTCCCTTAGCAATTGCATAAAACAAAAGCTGTGCAGGTCTCACGTCTGATTGATTCTCTTCTTTCTGTGGACCTATGCTAAACTTAGAAATAAACTTTCATTAAGAGATATTTTAAATGACTTTTTCTCCCCTTTATTAGAGGTATATTAAAGCTATAATTTAATGTGTATTTTGTATTCTAGGCTTATAATCATATAAGTAAACTACCTTTTTTTGGAGATGGGATCTTGCTATGTTGCCCAGAGGCCATTCACAGCACAATAATAGCACACTGCAGCCTTGAACTACTGGCCTCAAGGTATCCTACCAGCTCAGCCTCCAGAGTAGCTGGGACTGCAAGCCACCACCCTAGTCTTCTAAATAAAATGCAAATGTACTAGGATCTCATGAAGATTAAATATATGTGCACAGTAAGTGATAACTTAGCCTCTGAATTTCAATTTTAATATTTCAAAGATCTTTTTATCACACATTTTAAAAAGTGTTACTTTAAGAAAAACTTAATCGCAGAATAATATTTCTAGCATAGCTTTTAAAATGTTAACTTCAATTTTTATTCCAATAAAGTAATATGGCTTCCTCGTACAATTTTTATAAGGTACAATATGCAAGAGAGTATTTCAAAAAGTAATAGCAAATTGATTAATTCATTTAGAATTGAAAAGAACACCTAATTATACATTCTGCTAAAAAGCAGAACCAGTGGAAAGAGGGAGAGCCGCCCCCACTGCAGAATTTAAGAAATGCCAGGCCGTGTTCAGTTCTGCAAACACACCACACTCATCTCCCCCAGGCCTTCTACGGGGCCTCTACCTTAGAGAAAACCATGTTTGGGGACTTTGAGGACATCGGGAGTCCTCTAATCACAGGGAGTCCTCTAATCCTTCCCAGGACAGGCCGGTGGCCACAGCACACACTCTCGGGGAGACCCATACAGGCTGGCTCTGTGGTGGTAGCAGAGAGAGAAAGCCAGTAAGAGCTGCCGGGGCTCCCAAAGAGGAACAGGGGTCAAAGGGCCAAGCAACAGACCAACTGCCTGGCCGAGGACAGACTCTGCCCGAGAAAATTCAATATGGAAAAACAGTAATAGTTATCAAACTATCACTGGTAAAAACTGCGTTAACTTGTAATTTAAAAACATTTACTAACCAGCTTAACAATGTGCTAAAATTAAGTTGTCAGACACTTTTAAATTTGTACTTACTTTCCCAAATAGCACTGGCCCAGCAAAACAAGGAGCAAGAACTAAATAAGAGTATGTGTGTCTGTGTGCATATGTGTGTGTGTGTGTGTGTGTATTTGTATATGCATGTGTTCATGTGTGTAATCGGTGTGCATATGCCTGCATATATGAATGTGTGTATATCGTGTATGTGTATATGCCCGTGTGTGCATGTGTGTAGGTGTGCACATGCAAGCATGCATGTGCATGTGTGTGTTTGCATGTGTGTGCATGGGTGTATATTGGTGCCTCTATGTATAAATATGTGTGTATTCATGCATGTGAGTGTATGTATTGTATAACTGTGTGTGTGTCTCTATGGATGTGTGTGTATGTATATATCATGCGTATATGTATGTGTGTGTTTGTGTTGTGTATATGCTTCTGCTGTAAATTATGGTCTAGTTACCTGCTGGGCATTAGAATCACCGGTTTACAGCTGTTATCCCTTTTAACCTCACAAACCATTTAAGGTAGAGACATCATACCCATTTGACAGATGGGGAAGCTGTAGCTCATCTAGACTGGGAGCCTTCCATTATTGTCTCTCACTCACCGTTCTAATTCACTTTGCCACCAGCAGGTCTTAGTGAAATGCCATAGAATTATTTAGATCCTAAATAATCTATTTATTTTAAAATATCTTACCGATATCAGAGTTTCAAATACTGCAACATTAGGTGTTCAATACATGTATGTTCTCTAAGTTCATTTGAATCATGGGCACACCACATTTCATACCTTTTTAGATATGCATTAGTGGAGCTGAAACTCTAAGCTGGCTTCCTTCTGCTTTTGAATGAGGGTGGCTAAGGAGGAGGCCAGGAGGTTTGGGTTTTTTGTTGTTTACCGCTGGTGATTTGTTTATTAGCTTCTGTGGGTGTTTTTTTTTTTTTTTTTTTCAGTTCCTTTTGTTTCTTTGGAAGTTTGCTTTTATGTTTTCTATTTTATTTGCAGTAATTACATCTTTAACCATTTCAAGAATAGCTTTAGTTATGGCCTTGCATTTTTGTCTTTTTTTAATCATGTCCTGTTGCTACATGGACTTTGGAGTTGATCTCCAGCTGGAGCCAGGGGCGCGATCTCGGCTCACTGAAGTTCAAGCCTGAGTTCAAGCATCCTCCTGCCTCCGCCTCCAGAATAGCTGGGATTACAGGCACACCACCACGCCCGGCTAATTTTTGTATTTTTAGTAGAGACAGAGTTTCACTATGTTGACCAGGCTGATTTCAAACTCCTAACCTCAGGTGATCTGCCCATCTTGGCCTCTCAAAGAACTAGGATTACAGGTGTGAGCCACCACGCCTGGTCTGGCTTCTTTCAATATCATTGTGTATTTTTTTCTGGTCATAAGATACTGGCTTCATAATCACAGTGGCATTGGCAGCCCTCATGGCAGCTTTGCAGCATTGCACTGGGTCTTGTGAAAATTTCCACCTTGTCAATTTCTTTTAAATAACCCCCCTCACTCGAAAGCTCCTTCCTGCTCAGTCTCAGGCTGCCTGCAATGCCCACTCAACAGCCTTCATTGCGTAAACGACTTACGGCCTCCAAAATATTTCTTAGCCTAATTTTTTTGTTTTTCAAAATCTTTTCGTACATTTGATCGAGAATCACATTCCTCTCCAGACTGATGCCCTGAGGATATCTCCTGTATGAGAAACAAGCACACAGGCCATCACTCAAGCTCCAGTGCAGGGAATGAGTATGAAATCTCTACTACACACTTAGAAGAAAAGTGAGCTTCCTAAAACCATATGGTCAATGCTTTCAGGAAAGGAAGTCTGCGCTGTTAAGCATCAACACAGTCCACACACCAGCACTTTGGAAGATTAATGAGAAAAACAGTCCCGTTCCCACCAGGCTAGGATGTCAAAGAAGTTAGATTTGAAAGGTAAGTTTCAGGGCATTGGCATGCTCACCACAGGCAGCGCTCTGATCCCCTCCCTTCAGCTGCTCCGGGCCCCAGTGTGACAACTCCAGGTCACCAAGGTGATGACCATCTGTCAATAAGAGGCAACTTCTAGTGGTTATTTAAAAAGAAAAGCTGTGAGCTACTAGAACTGGCCAAAAGCAAGTTCTGGATTGCCACTTCCTATTGAAAAGTAACGCCTATTTGGCCAAATGCAAATGGTTAACCATGTGTATCCTGTAGGGTATTGAGTAACCCTGAGATCCCTGGAATCAAAGTCCAACCAATGGGAAAGTGATGAGAAAGCGGGAGGCGGTGTAGCTCTCCAGAGCAAGAGAGCCTTTGCGATGTTTTCAGTTTGCAGTAATGAGTTTGTAGACAAACTTCCACACTCCTTTACCTGGTTCTCCCCTGGGAGCCAAGAGCCCCTGCAAGCCGACTGGGAAGATCTGGGGACGTTTGCAAGAGGCCATGTGAGATAATGGGCAGGGTTGGGAGCGCTTTTGTGCAGAGTCAGTGAGTTCTGGCTCCACCCTGAAAGCTATACAGCCACAGAAGGACCACTGAGCCTCAGCAAGCCCCGGTTTCCTCTTTCAGAAGAAAGACCTTCATAGTTATAACCTCAGAGGGTTCTGAGAAATAGCCAGGCCCGTCCACAAAGCCGAGGAACAGTGCCTGGAGGAAAGGTGGTTCTCCATGCTTATCAGCTGTTATTACTGGATACTCTGAGACCCTCAGAGGAGTCCCTTGATCAAAGGCGGGGCACCTAATCTTTACGTGGCACAGAGGCATCCTCTCTGGGTGATAATGGGGGTCACTGCCCAGTCATTAGACATATCAAGGAAAGCAGCTGATGACAAGTCACTCAGAAATTTATTGTTAGATGCAAGTGGTTAAAAAATAGAAAAGAACCTTAGAATCATAAAGCTGTTCACACCTGGGTTGCTGTGAACCACATCTCAGGAAATGACAAAAAATTTACAGACAACAGACTCATGACCAACATACAGCCAGCTGGATGGACTCACTTTCTCTGCCTCGCAGAGAAAAGTGCGTCCTCCCCACCCTGACTGCCCAGAAGGCCACATTGCCACTTCCCAGCCCTGCCCTGTCCCGACCACACGTCGTCCGGGTCTCTGCTTCCTGCTGAGCCCTGAGCTCCGAGTTCCCAATCCTGAGTGAGCCCTGAGGACCTGGAGCGCACCCCTGGTCATCTCCCCGGGGAGCCAGCTGGACACAGCAGGGCCTATGTCCTGCTCAACCCCACTGGCCATTTTCCTAGGCTTCTCCCAGGTCCCCTCCAAAGAGCTTGCTGGCCCCGGTGGCTCCTCCTTACTGGATAAAAGAAGGGCCTTTTCCGTTTGAGGCATTTGCAGCCCTATGGTCATGGGGTCCTCCCTTTCCTGCCTGACAGCAATCCTTCCCAGCAAAGCCTCTCCTCACTAAGTCCTGGTTGTTTTCCTCTAACAGAGCTCACCACTTCTTTCAGCCTGGGTCACCTGTCCCTTTTCCAGCTGAGCGGAGTCATGGGGTGCTGCTCCCCCAAAGTTCATCCCAACCCGAAACCTGCTGATTACTGGAAGGAGGGCAAAGCAAGGTGCTCCCCTCTGCTCTACCAACCCCTCCCCTGCTACCTCAGCTCCATCCCTTCACCTCACTTCCACTTCGCCCCTGATGCTTCTGCTTCCGGTAGAAAGATCCCCCATGGGGGCACACACACCTCCTGGTTTCTTAGGTGCCTCTAACACTGGCCCTTTTATAGATGATTAGCCCTTTAATGCCTGCCTGGAAAGAAAAGGGAAAAACAGACTGGATTTTACTGGGGAACAAAAATGAACGTTAATTAAGCAGAAATGTAATGTATTGAACAAAACCACATCGTGCGTCCACGTGTTGAACAAAAACACCCCCTTCCTGACAGAACAAAGAGACTCGGCCACTGTGGGGGCCCCTTCAGTTAGACTCACAGAGGCAGGGATCTGGGGGTCTCCAAGAACGACCTCCTCCCTACGCCTCCCTCCGAGCCCCAGAGGGGAAGGCAGTGGATGGAGACTGGAACCCTGCTGCTGACCAGCTCCCAGCCTGAGACCTGAGACGGATGCCCCAAGTGGCACTGGCCTCTGCGATGCTTCTCATGTGCTTTGCCCCATATGTCTTCCCTATTTCCAAGTCAAATCCAAATTATATGTCACCCTGAGAAAGCCGAGACCCGTTTCATTTTTCCCTCTCTAAAAACGCCCCACATTAAAGATCCTCTTAGGTTTCACTCTCATCCAACCTTCCTCAAATTTGAAATCACACTGTTCATTTGCATGGACGCAGTGAGGTGCGCAAAGCGCGAGGAGTGTGGTTTACAGTCACATGTTTCACAAGAATAATTTTCCAGTCGGAAAATTCGACAGTAAACATCAAAAGTTCATTCTGAGCAAAAGCCAGGGAGAGTTTGGTAAATTCAGATAATAGTCATAAGGAGTTGCTTTAAAACTCACATCAAGGCATTTCTAGGAAAGCCATCTGCCTCTGGCTGTAACCCTGCAGAGGACACAGGTACAGCTCAGAATGGGTCCTGTGACCGTTTCCAGGTGCGGGGCCTCACCACTGGTGTGAAAAGGCATAGCCTAGAACTGCGGGATCCTAGACGCTTAGGAAGAAGGGGCATCCTCTAGCCACACAGACGCAGCAGGGAGTGCAAACTGGTTCCCCTGGAAGGGAAGAAGCGTTTAAAAGGAAACGGGCGTACTTAGGAAATGTGTGTTGGCTGTGTGAGTAGACACATTGTAAAATCTCAAGCAGCAATTATGTACAGAAACAGCCTTTTTGTCAAATGGACTTCCTTGCAGCTCACCTTGAGTGTTTCCTTAGGAGTTAACAAAGCATTGACTACATTTTCAACTTTGCTGATATGTCAAAAGGTGACTGACACCCAGATGAACAATGTCCACGATGACTGTGGCTGCCAGTGCTATCAGCCCCGCCCCAGCCTTCCCTGTTCCCTGGGCCTCACTGACTTAGCAACCCCTGTGTCTAATACTTGTCAGCCACTGTGGGAGTCCACAGTGCCACAATTCGCACTATTTCCGTGGATGGAACTTGAGCCTTTCTGCAGCCAGGTGGTTTGCTGGTGCTGCCAAGGCAAGGCCTGCCAGACGAGCCTCACTGATCATGGTGACCTGGACCCTTCTTCTTGTGATTGCCTTTAATTCACAAACAGCCTCTGCACACTGGCAGGTCAGATCTGACTCCGTCTTCTTGAATCTGAATTGGCCTTTGTGATTTGCTTGACCAATGAAATATGGCAAAAGTCACCATCTGCTACTTCTGGTGCTGTGTCCTAAGGAGCCCTTCAGCTCTGCCTGGACCATCTGTGATGCATGCAGGGATGCAGCCTTCATGCTGGGTTGAGAAGCCCAAGCTACGCAGGAGGCCACGGCACACACACTGGAGGCCACGGCACACTGCCTTGTGGACGTTGGTCATCTGGCAGTCAGTCCTTTTTTTGAAATTATCAGCAAAGTTGAAAAGATAGTAAGTGATTTGTTTATGCAGCATGTGCGAACCTGTGGCTGCCTGCCCACCGTCACCACTGTAGACACTCATCAGTGACATTGGTCATCTGGGTGTCATCTTTTGAAATTATCAGCAAAGTTGAAGTGATAGTAAATACTTTGTTAACCCCTAAAGTAACACCCAATATAAACTTTGAGGAAGTCAGTGTGGTGGGCTGGTTGAGAATTCTTGCTGAGATACCAGGCAGCTACAGTGCACCGCCTGCTAGCAGGCCAGTCGGGGAGCCCCTCAGCCCAATTGAGCCTTTGGATGACGTGGCTCCCAGCCACTCTCTGATGGTAACTGCAGCAGAGGCCCCAACTGAGAACCACTCAGCTGAGCCCAGTTGACCCCCCCAGCCATGAGAGATTGTAAACAAATCACTGTTAAAGCACCGTGACTCAAGGAGGTGGCCAAGCAACAGTAGAAAACCAGGGCAGCTTTCTACTTTCATCCTGCGCTCAATACTTCTGAAGTAATGAAGGTGTATTTTAAAAACAAAACAAACCAAAATAAAAGCCTCATTTGCTTATTTTTAAAAACCCTCCCCAGGAAAGCCTGGAGGCAGCGCAGGTGCTGGGAGTGCAGGGAAGAAGAAATCTACAACAGGGATTGCGGGCAGGCAGCTGCAGGCTGGCACGCGCTGCAAAACCGTAGACCGTCCAGCCAGCAGTCCTTGGATCTGTGCCATGTGGTTTGGATCTGTATCTTTTCCTCCATAAAAAAGTAAAAAACAAAAAAGGCCATTCCCCGGTAAGGACAAAAACGCATTTTATAGGGGAAATTACAAGCTATGTTGACACCTCGCATTTTGGAATTTACAAAGACGTCAAATGGTGCATCCTTCAATGCTCCCTGCATGTGCTATACATCTGGGCCTAGGGAGTCACTCTGTGTCATTCTACACCATAAAGTAGTTGGCCTGAAAAGTACTCTCCCATGTAGCCAGAACACCAGTTATAAATTATTTTTTCAGATACAAATCATTTTTTCGATGGTTACTGTGTACAGCCCGCAAGGTACAGAAATGGTTAAAAGTGTGCCATTTACTTCCCACCTTTCAAGAACTCAGAGTTGGAAAGTTGAGGCCTAAATACATGACAATACAAGCAACATGAGAAGTGCAGAGAGCCTGCGTGCGATGGATGCAGCCAGTTCACAGGAGGGAGTGCTCAGGAGCCCCTCCAGCTGCAGGCTCCTGCACCTCAGGCATCTTCGTGAAGGGCCGGGGCTCAGCCAGGAAGCCGGCTAAGATCTGACCAGGGAGGCAGGGGAGGAAGGCAATTCAAGGCCAAACAGCATGAGCCTGGCTGGGGAGGCAGAAAGGCACAGGGGTGGAGAGCAGTGAGGATGGCTGGGGGAGCAGCCCTCAGCAGGGAGCCAGGGAAGGTGGCTGTAGGACCAGAATGCTGGAGGCAATGCAGACACAGATGTCTGTGGGCTGTGGAGGGACTGGGAGCAAATTTACAGTAGGGAGAAGAGGGGGGCACAGGGCAGGTGCACCCTCCTGGCAGCACAGGGAAGGGAAGGGAGCCCGGACCACAGGCATCCGGAGTGTGGACCCTCACCATTTCATCCATTCAGTTTCATTAATCCTCACTACAGGCCCCAGGCCCTGGGATGGTCATAGTCCTCCCCAGTTGACAGGTGAGAAAAAAACTCAGAGGAAAAACGCGACTTCCTCAAGTTCACGCACTGACACGTTGGAGACCCAGTCTCAAAGACACGTCATCTGATCCCACAGTTCATACCTTTCTGGGGTACACGTGAAGAGAAAATGATATTTTGAAAAATATCAGTAAGGAACAAGCAGAAGAGGAATCAAGATGATGCCAAATTTTACATCGGGACTGAAATAGGGAAACCGAACTGAAAGCTTGCTTTTTATTTACTAATTTATTTCTACATGGAAGAACAGTTAAAGAAACTTACAGAAATGGTCTCAGAGGGAAGAAAATGGATGTCATTTGAAGTACCTGAAATTCGAAGAGATTGATGTCTTGTTTAACTGAAAATTCTTGGAAATTGTTGACATGACTTTGCATTCATGTCAGGAATCTAAAGCCGCGTTCAAGTTAATTCCTAGATGTCTGTCTCCTAATCAACACGTGAGGGTTTTAGATTTGTAAGTGGTTCATGTGAAGATCCAAAACAAATAAAGCCCATACCTCACACAGCAGGAGGTGCAGAGTAACAGCTTTGTGATTCCGATTGTTGTTGTGGTGGTAGAGATGGGGGCGGTGGCTACCTCTGCTGAACTATGGAGGGGCTTAGTGACTGAGCAGGCGTCATCTTGCTGGAGAGGTTGCAATTAAACTCAGAGATGCAGATGGAACTGCTGGGAAGTTGGGCTCATGTTTTTGAAGCAGGACAAATTAAAGATAGAAAAGAGACATTTCAGAAGAGGCCAGAGGATAGGTCCTAAAATATCAGTACAGTATCATTAAAGAAGGAAAAACAGAAACGCGATTGCAGGAAACCTGCAGAGTGAAGAATCTGAGGATGGAAAACTGACCTGTGCATTTAAGCACCATTGTTCTCACTGCTCCTTGAGACAAAACGTCTGTATGAATTTCCCAGTGAAAGCTTAACTAAGGGTTTAAGAAGAACACATGGAAGAAACAGAGACCACACAGGTGGAAAACGTTTAAGGAGTGACAGCGAGACTGAGAAAAGAGAACAGAGTTATGGTGAGCAGCAAACCCAGGTGAAAGCTGATCTCATTAACTGTGAAAAGACGTGGACAACAACGTTCGTTTCACTCAATCCAGAGCCCTCCAACACTCTTGTGACCTAACATGCAGCAGTGGTGCGCAGAGATGCGGGGACTGTACGGGGGAGGTGGGGACTGTGTGAGGAGGGATGGGACTGTGAGAGGAGGGATGGGGG